TAGAGACAATATAAGTTAAAGGGTATAACTCTAAAGGGAATGCTGGAGCAGAGATGCTGGATATGTATGTTGCTATTACCAGGTAAGGAGGGGTGATCAGCTCTCTTTTCTTTTCAATCCCTCAGTTGCAACAAATACATTTTTTCTTTTTAGCACATAACTATCACAATTCAATTACACCTAGTTAAACATATCAAAAATGAATGAGTCAATTCCAAGACTTTCTTGCGTGAGACTGGAGTTTTATTACTATTAAATCTGAGAAAAATAAGAATATTTGACATTTAATGAAAGGATAACACAGGCAATACGCTTAAAAAGTGGCGTGTGTGAGTGTGTCTATATGTCAGAAAGATACATGCAGATGTAATTAAATGTTTTTAAGAGTCCCTTAGATGCAAGAGTCCCAATGGTTTAGCTATTTTCCTGTTTCCTCAGGAGTGGCAAAGCTGGCAACAACCTTGATTTATCAGTGAACAGTTTGCAACAAGAGGACCCTGCCCCAAGAATCTCTCATGCAGAGAACTTCTAAAGGTAACTGGGTGATTTTTAAACCGATCAAGGACTTTCTGGGCCTGATTGGAATATCTGGGCTATTCAGTAATGTTTTTCTTATTGGGCACTGACTTTTGAGGTTGAGAGAGAGAAAGGCGGACAAAGTGCCTTCCAGTTCTTGCCTACAAGCCAATTATTTCTGGTCTCTATTCCCCAGTTCAGACATAGCTGTTGATGAAGGTCCATTTGTACATTCCTGATGTGCTCATTGTTTTCCAAACTGAATACACTGCAGACAACTTTTCATCATGACATATAGCTTCCAGAAAGGTGTGAATTAACCAGAAGATACCAATCTGAGATTCAGGGCTCTTTTATAATGTTTTTCATTTTAGCGCAGTCTGATCAATCCATATTTACTGATGGTTTCATGAGGTTGGCTCAGTGTAGTCAGGTGATGGCAGCAGCCATTTGTGATCAGCATTTGTTCTTTACTAAACCATTTTTGGTTCATTAGAATCTCAGGTATTAAAGTCAAATGATAAATATTGGATATTGACAGTCCATTTCACTATGATCGTAACAACATACATAAGTCATTGAAGGGAACTGACAGGTTAACAGAGCTGTTAATAAAACATACAGCATTCTAGGTTTTGTTAACAAGGGACAGAGAGTACAAGAGCAAGGAGGATATGTTGAATGTATGTAAGTCACTAGCTCAACGTCTGCTAGAGCATTGATCCATTTCTTGACACTGCACTTTAGGCAGGATGTGAAGTCATTAGAGAGTACAGAACAAATTCACAAAGATGGTTCCAGGGATGGGAAACTTCAATTACGAAGATAGATTGCAGAAACTGGAACGAATATTCGAAGAGAGAACGCGGCTGATAGAAGATTTGATACAGACATTCAAAATCATGTGGGGCCTGGACTGAGTGGATTGGGGAAAATATTCCCATTTGACTATTTAATTAAACAGAATGATCATCCTAATTAACTTTACAAGAAAAATAGTTTATAAACAGTCTATGACATACAGCCAAACTGCACTGAAACAGACCCTTCAGTTCAACTAATCCATGCTGACCATAATCTCAAACTAAACTGGTCCTACCTGCTTGCATTTGGTCCGTATTCTTCCAAACATTTCTTATTCATGTACTTATCCAACGGTCTTTTAAAGATTGTAACTGCACCTGCATCCACCACTTCCTGGAGGATCATTCCGCACACAAACCACTCTCAGTGTAGAAAAGTTGTCTCTCATGTCTTTTTAAAATCTTTCTCCCATCATCTTAAAAATATGTCCCCTTTTCTTAAAATCTCTCATCCTAGGGAAAAGACACCAGCCATTCACCTTATCTATACCCTTCATGATTTTATAAACTTCTATAAGGTCACCTCTTAACCTCCTACGCTGTAGTGAGTACGTGTATCTTTTGTATGTATGTGTTTAATGGAAATGAAGTAACATAGGAGGACTCTTTTTCACTGAGAATCTGGAACCTAACTTATGTTGTCAAGGTTTAGTGCTGCAAAGCAATCTTCTAACTTTATCAATCTGAAATGATTCTTTCACAGATGTTGCTAGACCTACTAATTCTGTACAGCAGCTTCTGTTCATTTCAGATTTCTAACACCTGCAGAATTTTGTTTACATCCAGTTGTGCAGCAGCTATGTAATAATTATAAACACATCTGCTTTTTTAAGAAGAATGGAACTGGATGCATAGAACATGTCCACTAGTTATTTTTGAAGAATATGCTAGTTAACCTGAAGGTGTAACAAAGAGTGGCTTTGTTGAGGGTTGGCTGCTTACAGCACTGTTACTGAACAGGCATCAGCAGAAGAATTTAGGAACAGCTTATAATGCTATCGGAGATGTACTTACTAAGCTCCCATTATCATTTGAAGAGATCATTTAAATCCATTTCTTCCAATAGTTGGAGCATTCTTTTATTTAACTTGAGTCTCAGCCATGGATTTGTTGATAGCACTCCTAACCTTGAGTCATGGAGTTTCAGGTACCTCCCACTCTAGGGTTTCAGTTCAAAAACCAATGCTGACATTCCAGTATGGTATCAGGGGAGTACTATATTTTATTATTAGAGATGCTGTCCTTTTGACTCATCTGGTCTGCTTGAATGGGCTTTAAAAAATGTTGAAGAAGAATAGGGGAAATAGTCCTGATGTACTAGACAATATTTATGCCTCAACCAACATCAGATGCACTGATCATTATCACATTGTGGTAATTTGCTATGTGCATATTGGTGGTTATATTTTCTAAATGCAAGTCTTTATTTTATGGAAGACCATTGTGCAATTGACAACAGTTAACTGAGTCACAGTGGCTCAATGATATTATGCATAATTTGAAAATGAAATGCTAATTTTGCATTGATATTCAGCAACTTCAAGAGCAACTATAAAATGACTGATGAAAGGCTTATCTGGCAATGGACCCAGTTCAAAACTATTCATAAATTTGATCAATATATTGGAGAATGTTACAGTGTTTGGTTTGGACAGTAAGGGTATTTCATGTAGTTCAGGGGTTAAGGATGCAGTAGGATATTTACGTTCTATGTTCATGCTATTACTTAGTAGAGCATATTCAATGCTAACATTTGGTATAAAAGTTTGAAAATGGATTACTTTCCCCAACATTGAAGTGCTTTATATTGACAATCCTAAGGATTCAAAAAAATATTGCATGTGCAGAGTTTCTGAAATAAATTCAAAATTTAATATCCCTAACAGAAAATATACAATTCAAAATACAGTTGACCATTTACTTATAAATAAAGTGTAAACATTTAGATTAAAATTGTGTAGGAAACCACTAATAACTGTCCCAACAATATTGCTTATCCATAGTCTCAGAAGAACTCTATTATTGCTTCAGTATAATGTTTCCCCTTTCTTATTACAAGCATAATGATAGCACAAGTGAGACTGAGATAGTGTGGACATTTCACTCCTATTCCAATCTCACTTTAGATTCTCAAAACTAATTTGATAACAAGACACAGAAACAGCAAAGTTTTGGCAACAGATAGGCAAGGAAATTTGCTAATGAGTTACATTCCTAGAGTCATGACTGTACCTGTGATCTTTTAACAATTGTAAAACAACAATTATAAGTTGACATTACCCATAATATATATGACTATACATAGAAATCAGACATACATTGGCTAAGTCTTCAAAGGTAGACAAACAGAAGGCTGGAAGAACACAGCAAGCCAGGCAGCATCTAGAGGAAAGAAGAAACCAACATTTTGGGTATTACCCTTCTTCAGGGCTGGATATGAGGGCAGGGGGAGCCGCAGATAAAGACAGAGTGGGGTCAGCAGAATGGTGGTGATAGGTGGACACCAATAGGAGGTACGACTTGGTTGGTCAATCGGAGGGATGAATCCGTTTGGTAGTTGGAAGGGACGGTCAGTAGGTGGAATGGAAGGAAAGAGGTGGCGCTGGAAAGGTTATTTGAAATTAGAGAGCTTAATGTTGAGTCCTCCCGGTTACAGGGTGCTCAGGCGGAAGATAAGATGTTGTTCAAATTTGCGTTCTGAATTGCTGCGACACTGGATGAGGCCGAGGACAGACATGTTGAAGCATCCACTTTAAGTCATAGCTATTGCTATAGAATCATTAAATTCATTGTAGTATGAACCGTTCCTTCATATTCATGAATAAATAAATCAACCGCAATGGGAAAAAAACTAAAGAGGAATCTGTGCAGCAATATACAGTACTATTAATATAAACAGAAAATACAAGAGAAACTCAGTCTACCTGTATCTGTGGAAACTGAAACAGTTATCGTTTCAAGTCCTGTTACTTTTTTCAGAACACAGCACTATTAGTTTAGTTTTAACTGTACTTGTATGTAATGGTTATCTTACCCTCATCAAAATAGTACACCAATGACTACTGTACACTTCAAATATACTCACGCAACATAAGTGAAAGATGCTATATAAGTGCACGTCTTTTTTATTTGACGATACAACACCTTTAAAAATAATAACTTTTTTTAAGTTACACTGAATTTTAAGTTCTAAAATTTAACTGTTTAGATTAGAATCCGCATTGAAGACTTCTCTGAAGCCAGTCATTAAAGGTGGACCTTTGAGAGCATATTACTAAATGTAATTGTAAAGTACAGTAGCGCAGACATTGTGATGATAATACTACTACTATTATTATTATTTCTTTCAACCAACTAAATATTTCACTCAGGAGGACAAACAGTTCTCATGTACTGATACCTCCAAAGATCCCATTGTACTTCCACCGAGAAAAGAAAGGCAACCTGGGGGATAGGGGTGGGCGAAAGAGGAGATGGGAGGCAGGGGGCGATGCAAAGAGGAGGTTGGACGAAGGGCGGGACAAACTGAAGGCGGAGCCACGGCGGGGAGAATGAATTGGAGGAAAGGGGCGTGGTGTAAACGAACAAAATTGGGGTCGGCTTATGAGTGGTAGGGGGAGTTGCATTGTAGATCTCGCGAGATTTCTTCTCGAGGACGTTGGGCGCGTGGAAAGGGGAGGGGGGGTTGCGGCGAAAAAAAACTCCAGTAACGGACAGAGCACGAGACGCGTCGCTGGTGACGTCAGGAGTTTTCCCCTCAAAGTCAACAAGAACAAGAAGGAACCGGAGTTTGAATTCTGTGGCAATTAAATATCTATCTACCTATTTATTTCTACATATTTTAAAAAATAACAATAATTTCTCAATCATCAAAACACCGCCTGGGTGGGAGGGGAAACGAAGTCGAGCCGCGTTGCCCCCACCCCCACCCCACTCCCGCACTCCCCACCACCTCACCTCACCCATACACCCGAAGGACAGCCGTTGAGTGTGGGTCGGTCCGGCAGGAGGAGGGTGAAGCCGGCCGGCTCGCCACTGAGTGTGAAAGGTAAGGGGGTGGGGTGCAATGGAGATGGCTGGACTATACTGGACAGGGTAGATTTCGGGGAAGGGGGGAGTCGGCCACCTCAATTCACCCGCCGGTACATATTTTTATTACTTTTTTTTCCCATGGCTGTACGTTCTGAGCTTTGGGTCGGGTAGCGCGTGCTTTGCGGTTGGGGGTGTGGGGGTGTGCATGGATGCAAGAATGTGGGAGACTTTTTGCGTTTTGGTGAGATGAGGGAATGATGATGATGCTGATGATGGAGGAGGAGGAGGAGGAGGGGTTACTGACTCTGGCCTAGTTATACCATCCTCCTCCATCACTGTAACTACTACCAACTAACCCCAATAACAACTTTACACCACAATTGCGCCGGCGGGGGACCAGCAATAACTTATTATTTGCGGATATTTCTTTGTAATCTTGTACGACTGTTATTTTTCTCCCCCTGACTGAATTTAATTTATCTGAAAGGCGAAGGTGGGGGGGGGTTGCCGGTGGGTGTACAGGCCTGCGTACTATTTATTTTAACAAAATGTTTTTCTTTGCATTTTATGAATTTGTTTTTTGCGCAGCCGGTCAGGAATAAATATAGTGGCGACTATTTATAATGTAGTCAGACTATGTCTTACACTTTTACCGAACGCTTTTTATGTTTTGTAGTAACATATTCAAACACCAGACTCAATCGGCGAATGATTTTTTTACTTGATTTCTTGGGGGGGTGGAAATAACGTGTTAGATTTTTACAGGTATTTATTCCTGAGCATTTTTGTTTTAATTTTGCTTTATTTTTAAGGTTTACGTTTTAAACTTGTGAAAGTATATGGCCTTGGGTAGAGGGCGTAGACAGACTGCGTCTACATAACGTCTGTTGTCAAACATTTGTCATACTTTTTAAATATAAATCAATATTCATGGCTTAAATATGACGATTAAACACTCAAGTTTTCATTTTTTATAAATCTATCTTGACGAATTTAGAACAGTGATGCGAATGGATTTATGAATAAGACTCCATAAATCATATTTGATCAGTAAAGTCAAGCCTTGACACCAAAGAAACTGAAGATTGCCGAAAATAAAATCAGGGACCGATTATTTATAGTATTCTCAATAATGCATAGAAATGATTTCATTAGACCTATTTGAATATTGTTTTTAACTGTTTTAAGTCAACTTTTCTTTATTAGGTCAAATTGAGGAGCCAGGTCAATTTGCCTGTTTGTGAAAATGGTTTTCCTTTAGTTTTAAATTTTCTTTGAAAAGTATGTCATTAAAGTGTCACAAGACTGAGACTGAAATAATGTGATCATTCTTAATGCGTCATTTTCAAGTTGTGATATTGTTTTTCCCTGGCAACAGTGGCTATCGGAGTGGAAGTTGCCTTGAGGAGAGCGGTGGGAAGGGCAGAGCCAGTCCCGAAAGACGACTAACTGGGCTCGGGGGGGACTGCTAATATGAGTGATATAACTATTGTGAAGGAAGGATGGGTGCAGAAAAGAGGTAAGATTACTTATGGTACATGTCCTCACAAATTGTCAGCATGTTAAAGACTGGAACCGGGTTTTGAGGATGGATGAATGAAACTGGGTGGGGAAGAGAATGTATCAGAGTAGAATTTTGTGCGTAAAGAAACAGTATAAAGCAGCATGTTTTTAAAGTTGACGTATTCGGTAAAATACTTAATTTGTCATGTAAACATGTTTCTTTTTAAATTCAGAATGTTTAATATGTCAGTTCTACATAATTTTCGAGTAGATCTTTAAAACTTGCTTTGAGTCACGCCTTCTTCTGTTGCGCATTTGTTACATAGTACTCAAAATAGGAAACAGATCTGTTTGTGTGTTAGTTTTGGCTTTGATCCATTTTTTTTCCTGTTCAATTGTTTTAAAGGTACTGTTTTGCGGTTGATCCTTAATGGCTTATGTTTATTCGCTTGTGCGATCTTAAAAATAGAATAAGTGATTAGGGACTTTGGAAATGACAAAATAATTTCCTGTTTACAGAAGTGACTTTCCTCCCTGTGGAGAGGTTGTGCATTTGTCTAATACTGGTGTTTAACTGTAACGTCTAGTCCTGCTGTTTAAAGGAGAAATAGCTATTGTTTTTAAATATTAGGCATGGGATTGGATGGAAGAAGTACAGGCCAATTACAAGGCAACAGATTTGTTGCTTGAAACAGTTTGCTTGAAACCTTGCTATCAAAGCTTTTACAGACTGACTTTTGGAACTATTGATAGTCAGTCATTCTCTTTAAAGACTTGCAAAACTAGACTGCACTTTTGGAAAATGCTTGTAGTTTTGTTACATTGTTTCAAAACCCTGTTACTATCTGATTAGTTGTAATCTGGCTGGTTTGTTGAGGAGGGAAAATGATCTAGTCTGCTATGTGAGCAGAAATGTGACACCTCTGTCTTAAAACCCAGGGGCACTTGTTTTGAAGTTAGTTTCAAACCAAATTATGATAATCTGTTTTAATAATTAACAATTTCCTGTTAGACATTAGTCATGCCTGTGCTTAATAGTTAGTGCTGACATTCAATCTGTGACATTAAGATCTTGCAAATTATGAACAACTGCTGAAATAATATTGAATATGTAAACAGAACTTTGATTTGAAAAAATCAATTCCCTGGAACAATTTTCATGTTGTGTTGATACTTCTGTAAATAACTGTAGGATAACCTCCAGGCTTTAGCACTCATTTTTGGTTTACTTCAATCATTTGGTACTTGTTGCTGCTGATTTTATTGTAGAAATTAAAAGTAAACGCTAATTTTTTTGAATGGAAAATTAGATTAGGGCAAGATTAACAGATTTAGCACCTGAAGGTATGAGTCTAATATATGCTGTTCGTGAGACAGGGTTTTTTCTCTTGAACTTTTTTTAGATTTCCTTGCAGGTCACTTCTTGGCATTCAGAGGCTACTCTTTTTGTTTGCAAGGGCTTTCTTTTTTCATTTTCATTGACTCCTTTATTAGGCAATGCAGTCACATTAACTTCTCTGTGAGATACAGTATTTTGTGGATCTTTACAGAAACGCCAAAGGCTGTGTGCATGTTTTTTATTAAATATTTGACTTGGAATCTATAAATGTCTGTTAATTTGTTCAAAAATTTTCTGTATTCAGGTGTAGGATAAGCCACAGATCTGCAGCCTGCATTTAGAAAAAAAGATTGCAGGTAGCTAGAACCTGCTAGCATTCTTTTGGTTTTGTTCTACCAATTTCAAATTTCTTTCTCCGTATACTTTTTAAAGTCATCACTGACAAACGTGTTGCGATACTCACTTCCAAGGATTTGACTGGCAACAAGGGGAATATACATGTTAATTTTCACACCAACCTCACCATCAGATAATGAATAGTTTAATTTGCATACTTCACATTAAGTTTTGTTTCCCAAAAATAATGCACCACCTCTTGATGATTTGGTGCTTTAATGAGGCATAGATTGAAAGCCTTTAGCACAGAAGCTTCCAAGTTACGTTTAAAGACACATTCCACTTTATAGAGGTGGTGAATTCATTAGCTGTACCTTTTTTTATAGTGGACATTGAAATCTTTATGCAAATATAGAAACAGACAATTGTGATGACTGTCTGAAATAATAGAATGTTGAAAGATAGGTGTCAGTTCAGCCAATCGTGCATGAACTGACTCTTTAACAATTTTCAAATTACTTCCCACTGTAACCTACATTTGGACAGCCTTGCAATTCTTCTCCTCTTTGAACGTTTATCCAATTTTTCATGCCTTGCTGCAAACTAAACTAATGGTTTATTATAATAATCTCTTGTCAGTGAGCTGGAGGCTGAATTAAATTTTGCAATCACTTTAAATTAAATACAAAAAAAGCACAATAATTTGGGCAAAAATTCACTGGCAGCATTGTTGCTGATTGCACAACAGTAGATTCTCCAGACAGCCATAATTTGAAATTACTTGTAGCTTGGATGACTGACAGCTGCCCTCCATTTGATGCAGACTCAGGTATTGGTGTCTTTAAAGAATTTGAGAACTAGACAAAGTTCACTGGGGTTCTCCTTCACCTCAGCTTGTCTGCACCACCTGATGCTATTTCCCTCACCCACCAGTATCCTTGATCCTAACCTGTAATCTTTAAACTTTAGCCAGGTGATCAGAGAAGTTGGGACTGAGCATGAGAGAGACAGTCATGTATTGAGGAGCAGTTCCTTTCAGATTCCATCTATGTTGAGTGCGTGGCAAGATTTCTCTCATTTAATGTCCTTGTCATTGTTTTATCACAGCTTTTTTGTGGTTTTGGAGGGTGGATTTACTTGCCACCATTTCTTTTATTCATTCATGTGATGTGGGCATTGCTGGCTAGGCCAGCATTTCTCATTTCTAATTGCCTGGGAGAGTGATGGTTACCTGCCTTTTTGAACCGCTGCAACCTTTTGTTGTGGGGTCATCTACACTTATGTTTGGAAAGGAGCTTTGAGACTTTAACTTAGCAACATTGAATGAACAGCAGCATAGTTCCAATTCGGGACGATGTGGTTCGTAGGAGAATTTGCAGCTAGTAATGTTCCCATGCATCAGCTGTCCTTCTACTTTGAGGTGGTAGAGGCTGTAGGTTTGGAAGGAGGCTCTGAGGGATGCTTGCTGAGTTACTGTAGTCTGTCTTGTGAATGGTATATATTGCTGCCACTGCATCAGTTGTGAAAGGAATGAATGTTTAAGGTGTTAGATGCCAATCAAGTAGAATGCTTTGTTTTGGATAGTGTCAAGTGTTTTGAGTAGAGATGCACCCATCTGAGTGGAGCTGCACAGAATTCTAAAACACTCATGAGATGTGCATTGTAAATGGCAGACAGATACTGGGAAAATAAATGAGTTACTTACTGTAGAATTCCTACCCTCTGATCTAAACCTGTAGCCACAGATTTAACTGGCTAGTTCATTTCAGTTTCTGGTCAGTAGTAAGCCCCAGAATGTTAATATGGGATTACATGATTATAATGCCATTGAATGTCAAGGGGCGATGTTAAATTCTCTCTTGTTGGAGATGATCATTTACCAGCATTTAATGTGATTCGAATGTTACTTGATCCAAACTAGGGTGACAAGCCTGTCCAGGTCTGACTATTGATGGACACATTTTGCTTCAGTATCTCAGCCATAAATGGTGCTGAGCATTGTTGTGGGACTTGCAATCAGGGGAAAGTCGTTGAAGTACTGAAGATGGTTGGGCCTAAGGAACTCCTGTGGTACTGTCTTTGGATTGAGATGATTGACTGCTGACAACTGCAACCACCACCCTTTGTTTTGGTTAACACTCCTAACAGGCAGAGCTTTCCTTCCATAGACTTCAGTTTTGCTAGGGCTCCTTGGTACCGTACTTGGACAAATGCTGCCTTGATGTTAAGGGCGGGTGCTCTCGCCTCACCTCTGGAGTTCAGCTGTCTTGTCCGTTTTTTTTGGATCAAGGCTGTAAAGGGGTCAGGAACTGAGTGGCCTTGTTAGAACCCAAACTTTGTCAGTAGCAGTTTGTTCTTTTGCACTTTCTGCTTGATAACACTGTCGACAATCAATTCCATCACTTTGATTGTACTTTTGAACATTGCTGAGGTATTACAGTTGCTTTTTAGTTTACACTCTTTAATTTAGTTGTCTACCTACTTAAGTATTACACCCTGCTTCTGTAAAGACACTATTCCATTCTCCCATTCCTCTGTCTCTGTATCTGTTTTGATGATGCCAATTTCGACAAGGGGGGCGTCTGAAATGTCCACTTTCTTTCTCATCTGAGGATTTGCCAGCACAGTAGTTGACAGGGCCCTCAGCCCAGTCTGACCTATCTCCTGCAATTCAGCCCTCGCCTCCATTTCTCCCCTCCTGCAACAGTGTTAGGATCCTCCCTATCCTCACCTACCATCTCACCAGCATTCACATCCAGAGAATCATTAGCTGCCATTTTTGCTGCCACCAGACACATTCCCCTCCCCTTCCCTGTCAGCCTTCTGCAAGGACCGTTCCCTCTGGAACACACTGATCCTCTCCTCCACACCCAACACCACCTCCCACAGCCTCATGGCACCTTCTCCTGCAACTACAGAAGGTGTAACACCTGCCTGTTCACTTCCTGTCCCCTCGGTATCCAAGGGCCCAAACGTACCTTCCAGGAGAAGCAGTGCTTTACCCGCACTTCTCTCAATCTAGTCTACTGCATTCACGGTTCACAATGTGGCCCCCTGTACGTTGGGGAAACCAAGACTGGGTGACAGCTTCGCAGAACACCTACATTCTATCTGCACAAAAGACCCTGAGCTTCCAGTTGCCTGCCACTTCAACACACCACCATGTTCTCTGGCTACCATCTCTGTCTCCGACTTGCTGCAGAGCTTCAGCGCAAGCTTGAAGAACAACATCTTGTTTTCTGTTTGGGAACTGTATAGCCTTCTGGACTCCATATAGAGTTTAGCAATTTTAGGGTTTGAGGTACCTTCTCCCATGCCCTTACCCCAACCCCCCACACCAG